CATAGAAATATAGCTTGCAATGAAAAAGAGAACAAGACAAAAATGCGGAAAAAGCAGTAGGGGTGATCTAGTTTCGTGATTGTTGTATCTACAAAATGGAGGGTGAGGAGAAGATGACATATGCAGTTTTGTAGAGCAAAATTCGCTCTATCAGATGGTATATTACTCGAAAAGTTTGTGAGAATTCACTGTGGAAAAAATGGCCAAATACTGACTTACAAAATTTTTTTTTCAAAATCTGTTGAGGGTGCTTTCAGTTTGTAGTTCATAACTTTTTATCAGTAAGTCATAATGAGCTCAAATTTTGGATTTATAGCTTTCTCACTTTGCTCTTTCATTTCCGATCATAAAATCTAGGGGTCAAATTTTTCGAGAGTATGACCATGTTCGATGGAGTCGTGGACCGTCTCTTAAAAGAGCATAGATAGATATTGAATTGTATTCGAATGAATGAATTTAAATATAATATCAACAAAAATAAAATTCGGAGAAAAAAACAATAAAATATGATATCTTATTGATTGAATGTATCAAACAACAAGGATTTAAAAATGTATCTAAATTTCATGTGCGAATCTTTCCAAGAAATTTCTCTCGGAATCATGAGAAAATTTCACAACTTTTTATTCTAAAATCATAGATATTGATAAAATGAGTCAACAAGATGTTTAAAATAATAAATATTTATCAAAATAAATAAAATTTTGATATTTGTATTTGTCTTAACGATTTTCGTTTCATTTTTAATTTATAAAAACTTCCGAATTTTTCTCCTTATTTTTATTATGAATTATTCTTTATATTTTAACTAGTTATTTACTTTAATCGTCTTTTTTTTCTTTTTAAGAGTGAGCGTATAAACGAATTAATCAATAACTCTAATGGAAAAATTAATGAATTTTTGATAATCATATGCATCAACTCCAATGGATGATCAACAATTGTACAAGTTAATTTGTGAACAACATAAAAAGTTGCAACAGCAATTACACGAAGTATTGTCTTCTTCGTGTTCATCTACTCAACAACCAACAACTTTTGGTGCTCTTTGAAATCCTTCTTTTTTTCCACATTCGTGTAGTTGTTTCGTGTTGTTCTTGTAAATGTTATTTGTGTTGTTTATGTTGGTGTATGTCCCATGACATCAACACATTTAGATAATATGAAAGCATAAAGATAATACATTTCTTTAGATATTTGAAAAAAACATTCATTCGAGATCTCAGAGATAATCATAATAAAAACACTTTTCGATATTCCAGCAATGTCACATTTCCAGAACTGTTATTTAATTACATGAGAACACAGATTCTTAACGTCTTATAATGCGAGAAATTATATTTTGATGTTTGAATAAATGAAGAAAACACGAGCAACTAACAATTTATATTCATTATTGAGATCATTGTTTATCTAACTATTGAGAAATTTCTTGATTACATCATCTTCGAAATACAATAAATAATATCATACGAATCAATCAAATAGAAATTAACAAGAATATTGTCTATTTTGTCCAACAATTATTTTCTTTATTTGGATGCATTTCATTCACTATTAAATTATAGACGGTCGAATGTATAAAATTGAAAGGCATGAACCTATCATTCACTAGATTTGATAAATATTAAGATTTTTTGAGAAAATATTGATTAAATGTAGCTGAAAAGAAATTGATTTTCATACTCATTTCAATTGATAACTTTTGTATTTTATAAATATATATTCAACATCATTAATCTATTGAGTTGTTAGAATATAATGAGAGAAGATTCTTCCTGATCGAAAGTATCATTTCATAATAATACATACATATGTAAATGCTCAATATATAAAAATACTTTTTTTTAAGCATAACATTGATGCCAATATTTTAGATTATAATCAGTAAATGTCATCCAAACAATCCGGTAAATCGATTCTTGTATGTTTTCTAAAAAGTTCAATACTATCTCTTTCAACAGAAAAAATTGACTTCGTAGATTTAAATGATATTTCTATATGTCAAATTAATATTTAAAAAGTTCGTTTAGGACAAAAACCAAACTCTTACTCAATCTAACGTGATTTTGAAAGATTCTGTCAGTCCTTTAGAAAGTTCATTTCGAAAATGAACAAATTTTACTTTAAATATATTAAATAGAAGTTAATTGCTTTAATATTCTTACAATCTTCCACGATTAATATGTCTACGAATACAGACAAAATTCTCTTTTTATAGTTGATTATACATTCAGCTGAGTATGTCAATCTATAAAATCTGAGTTAATCATCATACATTTAAATATGAACATTGAATAAATCAAGAATGATTAATATTATATTTTATCAACTATAATCGAGTAATAAAAGAGTTTCGAAAAAAAAAACATTTTCAAATAATTAAAATAAAATAGATATTTTAAATTTTATTGAGTTTTTTCTCGATTACACCGACAAACTTTAATTCAAAAGAGAAATTTACAAGAATAAACAAACAAACAAAAACAAAAAAAAACCCATTCACCAAAATGACAAATTAAAAAAAAGAAACAAACAAACCGACTGCGCACATTATTTTAAGACACAGTTACTTCCACACATATTAGAATAAAATAGAATTTATAAAAAAAATATTGATTTATTTACATATTCATAGATAAATATAGACCTTTTTTTTTTAAAACAATATACATATTTAATAACAGAAGATAATATGTTTTTTTTTTTGTAATAGGTTAAATGTACAAATACAACTTAGTTGCGAAGTTAATAGTAAGAAAAACAAACAAAAAAAAAAACAAAATTCATTTTTGGACTTGAAATCCGTAACATAAATGGCAAAAACATACTAACATCACATCAGATATTGTCAAAAACAAACCGGATGAGATTCACATGCACCATTCTACATCGATAACGGATCGCCCAATTTGTGCGCCGAAGAAAAAAAAAAAATCATAAAACATATAGAGAGAAGGGAGGGGATTAAAACCCTTGATTGTTTGTTAAAACAACAAATAAAAAACAAAACAAAAAAAAAAAAAAGAATAATTCATCTATTTACAATTCATCGAATAGGTTATTTGTTTAACATATAACAAAAAAAAAAAAAGAAGGGTATCAGTATCAACAATTCAACCATCATGGAACACACTTCTCCTTCGAATTATGTACATACCTCACCGAATATAAAAACAAAACAAAAGAAGAAAAAAAAAACGATATCTATATATATAACAACACACCGGGTTTATATTGAATATAATATCAAGTCAAGATATAAACATTAACAATAAAGAGAAAATAGGTTTTACACCAGTATTGCACGAAAGATGAGATACAAATTATTTTATTTTTATTTTTCAAAATTGAATCTCTTCTTTCGAATTTTTACTTTTTATTGACCACGGAGGCATATGCTGGTGTATTCCTATGTTATCTTATTAAGAGAGAGCCCGAACAAACAATTAAACGCGATCTGACTTAATACACTACTCATTAATACATACATATATATATATACATACATATTAACATTTAACAGACTAGGTTGCTACCATCATCTCATTATATATACAATAAACATTTTATTAAGCGCTCGGCGTCAGCAGTAAACCAGCTACTGTTAATTAAACATTCGGTTTTCGCAATAAATTGTCTCTTATAGTTCGGGATGAGAAGAAAGGGAATGTCTAAGAAGATAATTAAACAAGAAAAAGATTTTCAGTTAATAATTCCAGTCAGATGATAACATAAATATATGATCTGACTGGTATGGCTAAGACTCGGATCGGTATATCCATAGACATATTTTAAAATACACGCACCCGTTGGTTTTTTTTTTCTGTTATATATTGTTGGTTAAATATTGCTTGAAGCTATTATGTTGATATAAAATGTAAATAATTGATTTATCGACATAAAACATGTGTACTTGTTGGGGTATTTGATGTTGAAGTTGTTGTTGATGTTGCAACAATTGTTTGTTGATCATGTCGTTGTTGTTGTTGTTGATGATGATAAAAATCAAATCGATTTTGATTTGATGTTAAACTTAATATAATATTTGTTGTTGGAGAATTGGATAATGTTGGTTGATTATGTATACATCGATGTCGTGTTATATGGGATTTCGTATCATCGGATATTGGAGAAAAAATAATTGATTTAGAAAATTGTGAAGCTAGAGATGATGATGGACTAAGACAATTTGATGATTGAACATTATTATTAATTGGTTCATCTTTTTGTTTTTAAAGATAGAAAAAAATAATATTAGATTTAATTTAATTAAAATCAAATAACCTTCTTCATCTTTTCGTTTTTGTTCAGCTGCAGCAGCAAGTAATAGTAAACCCGATGATCCTATATATAATCATTTGATATATATATGTATATATTTAAAATAAATAAATAAAACAAACCTTGACTAACAGTTGGTTTTGTTTCTGTTATCATTGTATTCTTATCTGTTTGTGTATCATTATCCGAATCTCCATCAAGATTTGATTCATCCGCTTGAATATCATTCAGATCTGACTTTGGTTCTTTAAATAATACAAATTATTCTAAAATTATATTTAAACAGTTAAATCTTACTCGATTCACGTTTTTTTCTTGGTCCATCAACTGTTATTTTGATAGCTCGTCGATAAGTGCATTGTTGAGGTGGGTTTGTTTCAATAATAATAGTTAATGTAAATTTTTTACCTTAAAAAAAAAACAAAATAATTTTTAAATATTAAAACTGAAAAAAAAAAGCAAAAAATAATGTAAAAAACCTCGTCCACTAGCACCCAAAAATCTTAAATCATTAAATTCTGCTTGACCACCACGAAACCAACTGATATTATTTTTTAATGTTGCACATGGATT